GTTTATAAGCTTCGTGGTAATAATGTGTCGCTGAATGTTAAACTGTTAAATAAAAAAGAAAATATCAAGCTGTTTTCATTAATTATGTATGTTTATAAGCTTCGTGGTAATAATGTGTCGCTGAATGTTAAACTGTTAAATAAAAAAGAAAATATCAAGCTGTTTTCATTAATTATGTATGTTTATAAGCTTCGTGGTAATAATGTGTCGCTGAATGTTAAACTGTTAAATAAAAAAGAAAATATCAAGCTGTTTTCATTAATTATGAATGTTTATAAGCTTCGTGGTAATAATGTGTCGCTGAATGTTAAACTGTTAAATAAAAAAAAATATCAAGCTGTTTTCATTAATTATGTAGTGTTTATAAGCTTCGTGGTAATAATGTGTCGCTGAATGTTAAACTGTTAAATAAAAAGAAAATATCAAGCTGTTTTCATTAATTATGAACGTTTATAAGTTTCGTGGTAATAATGTGTCGCTGAATGTTAAACTGTTAAATAAAAAGAAAACATTCTTCACTATAGAGACAAAAAATCTATTGTTAACGTTTTAATCCCGACAATCCAATAATATTTGTAATGATTGCCCTTGAGTACATTTTTAACGTATTATTTATATAGAGTTACGTACACTTGTATATAGAGTCTTGGAACATTAGACGTCGCCAACAAAATGTCTATTTGTTTCTCAATTACTCATTTAAGCAGCATCTTAATGGAACTTAGTATTTCGTTCAGACAGATGCAAACTTTGAATAGGGTTAAGTTGAGATTTTATTGGCCGATTTTCTTTTCCAGTACAGTTAGTTAGACGATTATGGTGTCGAGAATATACTTTTATAGCCTCTAAGCGTCTCGGGCAATCCAGAATAAGAAAACTCGTTTCCGTAAACAATAAAAGAAACTCGTTTCTTTTGTGTTGTTAACATTAGAAAGCTGGCCTGCTATGGTGTAGCATGTAGTTATCGTCCTTCGAGGCCACGTGTTTGTTTATTATTCGCGTAATCACTTCATTTATCGCAAATATGAATGGACGCTATAATTATTCAAAGCTTCGTGTAATAAGGTTATCTTTGTGTTAAGCACGACTCATGTAACATGTGCGAGTCAACAAGTGCATTAAAACGATAATAAAGCACTTGGGTCTCTTGGGAAGAAATGTTAACACTGTCATATCTCCCCTCTGTGCTGAAAACGGAGTAGAAATAAGTCGAGGTTTCAGGCCTGGCAGGTAAGTGAACTCCGTAATGACTAAGACTCCGTGAGACAAGACACAGATATGCTAACAAATACTAATAATAGTAAATATTGTTTATTTACTTAGGCTGATAGTTATAATGTTTTTGATTATGTTTGTTTGTTGTTAAGCTCAAGACTACCCAATTGGCTATCTGTCCTATGCTCACCATGAGTATCGAAACCCGATATTTAGAGTTATAAACTTTTTATCATGTTTCCGTGGGAAATTGCACAGATTTGGCATTTTCATTATGTTAAAAATGATAAAAAATATTTATTATAAAGACTGAACTTTAAATCAAGGCACAGGTGATTTGTTAAAAGTCTATCTCTAAAAATAATGACGTAGTTACGAAATTAAATTACCGATGTTACTTTAGTTAGAATAATTTTTACATCAATTACCATAATAAAAAGTAGAAAAATTCATTAGCCGTGTTTACATCTTTTATCACTTCCGTCCATGTTGTAATGTTTACTCATTTCAATATTGTATCTAAATATAACGATGTTGTACTTTCTCAAGAAAATATATTCTACACGTGGGTGTTACTTTGCGTCATTAGCCTAATTTATCTATTGATTTAACGGTATTAGTCACGTGAAAACTAAATAGCTTCTTTTTATAGCCTTAATATGTTGGACACGCAATGAGTTAAGTTTCAAAGTTTGGAAATATACCATATGTCTTCATACTGGAAAAAAAATACTTTAAGTTTGGAGAGATACTATATGTCTACGTACTGGAAAAAAACACTTTAAGTTTGGAGAGATACTATATGTCTACGTACTGGAA